TTAAAAAGATTCTTTCGCTTTGTTTTGTTCCAAACTTATCGTAGTGTCAAAAATTTCGAGCTTTCATTTTCTGTAAATTAGCGATTTTTCTGTTCTGATGAAGTCACAGGTTTCTGAATGAACGTGTGATAAAGCAACATGATCTTATCGCTACTTCTGAACCTAGAGTGAATCAAAAATTTAGAATATCAATCAATTTCATGGTTGAGGAATGTATTTCAAATGATAACACAAGAACATTTCATCAATGGACTCATATATTGAACACGCATTCGAAAAGTGTGAAGGAAGAATCTCTTTTTATATTAATTAAAAATTCTCAACCATTTTTGCATTGGTCTTTTCGTTTTGACTCGATTGCATTCTCGGAATGCCGAAGATTTGTTCTTATGCGAGACAACGGCAGAGACTTCGAGGCGCACGTTCGCTCATTTAAAATGATTTGTTGCTTTTGATCGATGATGCGATCGAGTGTGCGTAGCAGTTGTTGTCGTGATATCACATTGAAACCTCGATTATAACTCGATAGTTTGTTCAGTGAATCTTGATTGTTCCGATTGTTTACGAGTGTGCAGTAACGATTCCTTGTACCCGTACGATTAAGACGATTCGCGCCGAGTGGCGGCGCTTGATTATTCGATTTTTGTGCCTTTCCTACAAAATAGAACAGCTCCGCCGTGCGTCCACATTCAGAAAACCACATCAGTCAAATGAAATGACGATAAAAGTGTTGAAGTACTGCTTATGAAAATGTTACTGGCGAAATAACATTGATAACAAGAAGTGATTATCAAAGATGAAAATCAGGATGGTGGTGGCAGTGAATTCATAATGATAATAATAACAGTGATGATTATTTTAATATCAGTAACGATACGGATAATAGTAATGACAGAAGCGAGCATGCTAATGAATACTGGTCTGTGTAAAAATGATGATACGGTCAATAATGTGCCATTTTAATAACTAACCGTTCAAAGCTGCAGCAAATCGTTTCGATGAAAATATTCGCATAATAACATGATTGATAATCCTCTCAATATCTTTATAATATAACATTCTATCGAATTGCATCGCAACATCCCTCGTTATAACTTTCCGTTTACTCAGTTGTGTCATTACTGTTCGTTGTTTCGTTGATGAAGTCTGAAATGCTCCTTATGAATCGTCAGTATTGTTCGCTCGGCTATTTTTACGATTGATATCCTCGTGAATGAGGCCGAAGAAGATGCATCTGATACTAGGTTGAAGTGATTGATACCTGAATGTGCGCATTTCTCGTTGGTGTATTCGTTGTGGTTGTTTGAATATATTTGTTGTGTTTACTTGGGTCATCGGTTTGCACGTGTTGATTTTTGGCGATAGTCGATTGAGGCGTTGGTATCGGGCTGATCGTATCAACGTTGAAAATGCGCATCGTCGTTGTGATACGCACTGTACGCGTACCGTGCACTGTCTCGTACAGTTCCACCGTGCCTTTACAATACGCAATCCCCTTGAAATTTTCATGTCTTCCACGGAACTTCCAAAATTTTTGCACAATATCACATGTTTTGGATAAGGTGCTTTCGAAAGATTATGCAACAAATCTTCAATCAAATTTTGAAGCGGCAAAATAGCGCTATGTGAAAACTCTTCACATCTTTAGCCATCTGTTGTGTGGATTTGATCAATTGACGAGGA